TTTTTTATTTTTTTTTATGGATGATGGTGTATTACATATGAAAGAAGTCTAGACAATTTTTTATCGGACTTAGAAAAATTGACGGTTTTCACGAGCTTCTGTAAGAATTGACGGTTTTCACGAGCTTCTGTAAGAATGACCGATTATGTCGGATGAGTCTCAGGCTCTCAGCACTAACATATCTTATTCAGTGTGGTTCAATATCCTCCTATAACTTATTTACTTATTATTAAAGAAAACAACAGAACATATGGTTAAAATTGCTTGTGTACGTGGGTTCAAACAGCACAAACAATGTTCACATGCGCGTTCGCTTCAGAAAATTCATAATCTCGCAGTTTTCAAATCTGAATCAGTTTAGTTTCATCCAGCTCAACACACTCGAGTGGAACATTCCCCGTCGACAATTATCAGAAGAAGATTACGCCCAGTCTCTAAACCACATAATTCACCACTCAATCACATGTATAAATTTATCGAAACACATCTATCAACAAAAACAAGAAAACCGCAACTACGTGACTGAGTACATATATATATATATGTAAGTAACATATTGAAAACTGAATTATACGTAAGGCTGATCCGAAGATCCATGATGGTCCTGGGGTCCACTGACCGGGAAATTCACCACGGGGATGTCTAGGCTCCTCCCATCCGCATCTGGCCCAACCTCTCGGACTTCGGCTATCTGGGCCTCAGTTGTCTGAATATCATTCCACTCACTTTCCCTGATAGAGTGGAGATCCGTTTGCTCGACCGCAAGGCGAACAAAGTTCTCAGTGGGCTCGGGTGTGGCTTTTGAGACGCTCGTGCATGCTTTATCCACGTTCTCTTGTGATGGGTCAACGTGCTTTGTTAGTGTTAAATCGCCATCCACGCCAGAGCAAGGCTCGGTCTTCTCGGCATAGACTCGCCTGGTCTCGAGCTGCTGCCTGTATCATAGCAGGAAAGTGGAAACTTCAGTACATATTATTTTATCCAATTAAGATTCAACTGATAAAGATCAACAAAGAGCAATGTCTTAACAGAGATATGCCTTGCCAGCCAAACTGCTCCTATATATTTTTTTGCCTAAATATAATTTTAACTCATTTGAGTCCATGTTTGTAGGTCAAGATTGAAACATCAGTTTGCTTCATTTATTAAAATTGGAACCATAGTAACAGTTTGAGGTAGGACACAAGTCATATCTTATTGATGCAAACAATAGAACTAAAAATATAATAGTTTCGATTATTTGTTAAAAGAATCTTGTATTACCTTTTGAGTTGCTCTTGTAATAAATTTACATATGAAAGTAGTTCTTGATTCTCTTTAGCAGCAGCAGACTCTTTCTCTATCGCTTCCTTTATTCTAGCTTCGGCATCAGCCTCTGTAACCCGGACCTTCTCTTCAGCTCGGACCACAGCTCCTTCCAATATCACGGCATGTTCTCTAGCTTTAGCAAGCTCTGAACGCCATAAATGCGCCTCTTGAAGGGCAGAATCCCTTTGTTTTATCAGATGATCTTTTTCTGTGCTAAGATTCAGGACTCTCTCTCCCAAATCTCTTATCTATATGAAAATGAAGTATAGTACTAATTGCATTGAACAAAAAAAGATGACAATGGACCTTATTATGAAACTTAAAAGCAATCAAAATTTAAGGAATAACAAAACCAGCTCTGAGACCAACTTTAAAGGTGTGGTTTGAAAAATGGAAAATAATATCAAGAGATTTATGTTTCCTTTTTTTGGTTCACCAAACTGAACTTCACTCC